AGTTTATTTGTGGATAGTGAAATTTTGGACATTTGATGAATTTTGGAGTCCAATACTTGATTCGCCATTGACGCATTAGGATTAATATATTTTAAGATTCTTTTCAATTAACAGTAAATAATCTTCCTTTAGTTGATATATCTTTTAATCTCTCCAAATTTATAGACGTTAAATTTATTATTAATAATAATTTAAGTTCATTGAGTGATACATTGCATGAACTATAATTGTTTGAATGAAATAACTATTTGTGAAATATATCTATTTTTATTATTTGATTCTACTTTTTTTTTGGGTAATTAATCAACATACTCTGATATTATTACATCTTAAGTTAATTCAAAATGTGACAAACTGTAAAAAGTTTATGTTCGAAGAACCGAAACATTTGATTACTAAAAGTCTTCAGGATTAATTATCAAACATTTGATTTTTTTAACTATTAGAAAAAAAAATGAATTATTGTTAGGGTTCATGTTTTCTGCAGTTACTGTAGATAAATTATCTGCAGTAAGCCAATACGACGTCGTTTTGGAACGGAAATCATGGTATTTTTGTAATTTTAATTTATTTTAGGGTTATAATAGTCTTTATATTTATAATTTTTTAAGATTTTAATACCAAAACGACGTCATTTTGGAAATAAATGCAGATAACTTCTCTGCATTAACTGCGGAAACATTTTTCCCTTATTGTTATTAGTAATAATTTGATGATTTTCAATTTGTATGGATTTCAAAAAAAAAAAGTGCACACATGCACAAATAAAAATCATTTAATATTTGACTGAATATATTTGATGTCAATCTGTAAAATAATAATGGTTGATTGTTTTTTATTATAATTATTAGATACTAATTATTATTTATGATACTAATCGATATTTATTGTCAACAACACTTTGATTATTTCCCCTTTAATGAAATATTTATATTATTTAAGTTGAGTGAGTGATATTAGCATAGTCTGTAACATTTTTTTTTTTTTTTGATAAAGTAGTCCGTAACAGATTAAAGTATAGAGTTATTCATTAAATATTACGATTCTTGTGCAATGATTTCCATTTTTTGGCGATTAATTAATATACTATATATTGTTTTATTTTTAACATATTTAAAATTAGAAAAACCTGGAGAAGATACTATTTCAAGAAACAAAAATTTTGGTAACTTAAAATTTCGGATATTATAAAATATTTAGATTTTTCAAACGAACAGGAAAAAAATGAAAAATCAATTATTATCATTGATAATAAATTTAATAGTTTTGAATTTATAAAGATACAAAAAAATCACTCACATAAATCTTCAATTAATAAAATTAATTTGATTTCTATTTAAAAAATAATTTCCTTGCTTAATATTTTATTTATTAAACTTTAATAATTATTTATAATATTAATTAATATTTAAGTGAAGAAGGAGAAAAAAGAGGCTAAGATAGGAAATTTTTTATGTAGGACGATAACGAAATTGTCAGGTGACAGGTCCTCCTAATCCTAAACGCTGGATTTGGATCAATCATGTGAAAGCTGGTCATGTGGTCATTTTATTTGATCATAATCATTCATTGATGATGAGATAAGAGAGAGAAAAGTATATGATTTCTAAATGAGTGATTGTAATCGAATAACATGATCATATAATCACTTTTTCACATGAGAGGATCCAAATCTCTAAACACCAAATTTGAGGGCTGGTGTCCAGTGCATTGTATCAGCCAGTTTGATTCAAATTCGCGAACAAAACTTTAGCATCAGATGTATCCAATTAGGTACTTTTTTTAAAAAGGAGAAAAAATTTCAAATTGGTGGGAAAAAAATTCAAAAGTAGTGAAAGTTTTCCAAATATAAAAAAGAAGAAGATATACACAATCAGATACATCTAATGTACCAAAGATATTTTTTTCATTCACCAAAGAAGTAAATAACTTTGAATTTATTTTATTTTTCTTTAATTTGTGACTTTCTGGGCCTTCCACCATTTTTGAGCCTCTCTGATATCCGTAGATTCAGAAATCACGACTCACCTGGTCTCCAAATACGTCATTTAGCCCAACTTTATTCCCTTTATATACACCCCATTCCTAAGTACATTATTCTCACCTGATTTTTTCCTTCTCACATCACTTGGCAAAGTAGACCAAACATGACTACCACTTCATTCTCTTTGATCTTCTTTCTCTTCTCCTTCCTCACCCCAACCCTCATATTTTCTTCACCTGTTTATGACCCTGAATTTGTGGCCCAAGAGGTAAACAGGTAATAAAAGTCACAACCTTTATGCTTCTTCACCTGTTTATGTAATTGTATACAATATGTCAAATGCTAGTACATTTAGAGAAATGTTTTCCAAATCATATACCAATATTAATGTTTGATCTTATTTCATTTATTTTTGGTGACAGGAATATCACTGCTTCTATGGCTAATACAGATTTGATGTCCCGCTCTTGTGGGACTGGCAACCCCATTGATGATTGTTGCAGATGTGACCCCAATTGGGCTTACAACAGGAGAAGGCTAGCAGATTGTGCAATCGGTTTCGGCAAGAAAGCCATTGGTGGAAAAAATGGTAAGTTATATATTGTCACCGACTCCGGCGACTATGACGCGGTGAAACCGAAACCGGGGACACTCCGGCATGCAGTGATTCAAGACGAGCCATTGTGGATCATATTCGCAAGAGATATAGATATGACTATTAAACTGAAGGTAGAGTTAATCATTTGAACAAGCCCTTCTGCAAAGTGGTTGAAAGCTATAGTGACATGCATGTTTTTGTCTTGAGTGTATGAATCGCTGTGACCCAACAGCATAACCTTGTCGTGCTTGGTAAAGTAATTGTTGGAAATGGTAATTGCAGTGGACGCAAGAACGGCATCGATCAAACCATCAGTGCATTGAGAGAATGAGCAATGGTCAATCCATATGTGGCTTCCTCCTAAGATGGAGATACCATCACCATCCGATATGGTTCTCCACCCGTAGTGTTGTGGTGAGTCCCGCACCATAGCATTCCCACCTGGCTTACAATCATGTATATGTATCCCATGTATTATAACATTGGTCACATATTGTATAGTAATGCATGGACCCCAGCTATATGCACGTTCGCGCCTCTTCCATCAATTGTCTTATGCGAGTTCATGATTAACTCTACCTTCAGTTTAATAGTCATATCTCTTGCGAATATGATCCACAATGGCTCGTCTTGAATCACTGCATGCCGGAGTGTCCCCGGTTTCGGTTTCACCGCGTCATAGTCGCCGGAGTCGGTGACAATATATAACTTACCATTTTTTCCACCAATGGCTTTCTTGCCGAAACCGATTGCACAATCTGCTAGCCTTCTCCTGTTGTAAGCCCAATTGGGGTCACATCTCCAACAATCATCAATGGGGTTGCCAGTCCCACAAGAGCGGGACATCAAATCTGCATTAGCCATGGAAGCAGTGATATTCCTGTCACCAAAAATAAATGAAATAAGATCAAACGTTAATATTGGTATATGATTTGGAAAACATTTCTCTAAATGTACTAGCATCATGTATACAATTACATAATGCACATTTTATGTATATAGAGAGGAGAAGCATAAAGGTTGTGACTTTAATTACCTGTTTACCTCCTGGGCCACAAATTCAGGGTCATAATCAGGTGAAGAGAAAATGAGGGTTGGGGTGAGGAAGGAGAAGAGAAAGAAGATCAAAGAGAATGAAGTGGTAGTCATGTTTGGTCTACTTTGCCAAGTGATGTGAGATGGAATGAATGAGGTGAGAATATGTACTTAGGAATGGGGTGCATATAAAGGGAATAAAGCTGAGCTAAATGGCATATTTGGGATCCGGGTGAATCGTGATTTCTTAATCTACTGATACTAATTGGGCAATTTTTCCCCTTAAGAGAGGCCCAACAATGGTGGAAGGCCCGGAGAGTCACAAATTAAAGAAAAAATAAATAAATTCAAAGTTATTTACTTCTTTGGTGAATGAAAAAAATATCTTTGGTACATAGATGTATCTCATTGTGTATATCTTTCTTTTTTTATATTTGGAAAACTTTTCACTACTTTTGAATTTTTTTCCCACCACTTTGAATTTTTTTCTCCTTTTAAAAAAGATGTAATACATCTAATGCATTAAAGTTTTTTTTCCTATCTTACCACCTCCTTTTCTCCTTCTTCACTTAAATATTAAATAATATTATAAAAAATTATTAAAGTTTAATAAATAAAATATTAAGCAAGGAAATTTTATTTTAAATAGAAATCAAATTAATTAATTAAATGAAGATTCAAGAATTAAACTATTCTCATTTATGTGAGTGATATTTTTTATCTTTATAAATTCAAAACTATTAAATATATTATCAATGATAATAATTGATTTTTCAGTTTTTCCTGTTCGTGAGAAAAATCTAAATGTTTTATAATATCCTAAAATTTTAAGTTACCAAAGATTTTGTTTCTTGAAATATTAACTTCTCCTGGTTTTTCTAATTTTAAATATGTTAAAAATAAAAAAATATATAGTATATTAATTAATCGCCAAAAAAATGGAAATCATTGCACAAGAATCATAATATTTAATGAATAACTCTATCATTTAAACTATTAAAGGCTATGCTAATATCGCTCACTCAACTTAAATAATATAAATATTTCATAAAAGGGGGAAATAATCAAATTATTGTTGACAATAAATATTGATTAGTACATAAGTAATAATTAGTATCTCATAATTATAATCACAAACAATCAACTATTATTATTTTACAGATTGACATCAAATATATTCAGTCAAATATTAAATGACTTTTATTTTTGCATGTGTGCAATTCTTTTTGAAATCCATACAAATTCAAAAACATCAAATTATTATTAATAACAATAAGATTTTTTTCTAATAGTTCAAAAAATCAAATGTTTGATAAAACCTGAAGAATTTTAGTAATCAAAATTTTCGATTCTTCGAACATAAACTTTTCACAGTTTGTCACATTTTCAATTAACTTAGAGATAAAACAGTTAACGTTATTTGGAATATAGCAATAAATTCAAGATAAAATTATCTAAAAGAAACAACAATATTTTTTAACATGAAAATAATTTTTTTATAAAAATGAAAACATGGAATATATGGTCTTAAGGGGAAACTTTACTTAGAATATCTGCCATCCACAGGGAGACAAGAAACCGATATATCAGCACATGAATTGATGTGCTTCTGCAGATATAAATCAGTTGTCATTAGAAATATTCACGTAGTGAAAGTGAATGAACAAAACAGCTAATACCAACCTGCACTAGTTCCATGTAATCCATTCGATAGAGTTGATCACCACACAATATCAGAATGTTCTCTATGTTTTTATGCTCAGCATCCTAATCAATCAGTGTTGTCAATGTTAGAATGACATAAATACCTTGCCAGTCAAATCTTAAACTCTTGCATCTGTGTCAATCCTATCTGCTTATTGACAAAAAGAACTACTCTGCCTAATCTATAATTTTATGAGCAGGAAAAAGAATAATGGCATACCTCAAACAACCAAAGAAATTGTCTTACAACATCGGCAGTACCCTGATTCACCAGGTGTTTGAGCTGCTGCCAATACCTACCATAACAAATTTTTAGTCTGCGTGTCTAGCCTGAGACTATTCAGTGTGAAAGATTTAAATATTCAGTGTGAAAGATTTAAATTATTGTAGGCCAGCCAAAGATTTAAATTATTCAGTGTCATAGTGAAAGATTTAAACTATGGGGAGGACAATAATGATGTGGTTCACAAGACAAACAATTCTACCACGTAAATATTAGCAAAGCAAATTTAATTACAAGTTACCGGCCAATCTGAGGTTTATTTGATTATTTTTATGTATAAGAGATAGTAGTAAGAATAAATAATTCTAGTACTTTTATATACCCTTGATAGAATAAATAAAAAAACTGGATTACATTTGGATGCCTTATTTTCTGAAGTAATGTAAGCTCATTTCTAAGAAGACAGTCAAGGACATTAAAAACCGATTATGAGAATACAATTTGTGAACTGAAAAATCCAATTATCCCAAGCAAAATAACAGATTGTATAATTAGACAAACTCACCTTTTCATCATCATTGAACACTTCCTCCCCAAAAGTTTTGACAGCAACTTGAATTCCACGCCACAATGCAATCTGAAAAGTCCCCTAAAATTAAAAATACATTCGACATAAAATATGCAACACAATAATCAAGGTATAAAACAATTAATTACTAACAAAGGAAGAACTGTACGTTGCTGTTTTTATCAAGTGTGTGGTTGTGAGTGTTTTTATTTTCTGGAATAACAATGTGGAGGAAGGGGAATAACTTGATGAAGAAAACGGAAAGCGCACCCATAGGGTTGTGAACTCTAAATTAACTTTGAACTTGGAAGTTTAGTGATTGTGCCAAGAAGAAGAATAAACTATAAAACTTAATCAGATCCACGTAAAATTAAAACGGAAGTGTTAGCCATTGATATATTACTATCTTTACAAGCAAAAGTAACAATCTGATACTCATTAAAAGACTTAATATACAACCAGTGAATCAACAACAGATCGAAGCTCCGCAATTAACATAACACGAAGAATTAAACAAGTTTTGTGCCAACTGAATTTAAGTATATGATATGAGAAGATCAACCAACATAAAACTGAAATTTACAGCAAATATAATGTTAACATATTCTTGACACATCTGATTTCACTGATATATAAACTACCAGAGATCGAAAGCACATATTGATGTACTACTTAATTGTTGATACTTCTTTTCAGAGGCACCACTACCAGGAAATTCCATATATATATATATATAAAAGAAAATGTCACTTATCTCCAAACAAGTATCCAAGCGATGAATGTCCACCAGGAACCGATTTGACTCTTGTTGATGGGCGATCCTGAATCATAATTAATTTGTTGATGTGGAAAGGATTAATTTAAAAAGAAAAAAGAAAAAAGATGATGATTAACAAGGTTGAAATTTGAGAGAGATTAATTAATTGGTAACGAATGTATATATCATAATCATAATTAAATATCTCTAATCGAGAAGCTTACAGTTAGATTGTGACCATCACTGACATGGAGGCAGAAACCTTGTCCCAATCCTCTTTGCAAGGCCCAACATGTTAAGGGTATCCATCACATTGGTCTTGTAAGCCCCATACACACACACACACACACACACACAAAACACAGTTAAGGATCCCAAAACAATCTAATAACATGACATTCAATTAGAAACTGATCTTTTGTACTCACTGCAATTCCAATTGCAATTAGAAAAAAACAAGGATACAATGGTCTTAACGGGATTGTACTTGGAATGCACGGGTGAGGCAGGGCAAGCGAGGTGATAAATCTGATCCACCTCTAACAGAATAGGATCCACCACATCGTGACGAATGAGCTCGAACCTCGGGTTCCCAAACAAGTGCACCAGGTTCTCCTTCCTCAGTGAAGAAATTATCAATCACAATCACGTCGTTCCCTCTGGCAATCAAAAATTGTACAATTCAAAGTACAATTAAATCAAAAAACATAATCCCAATTTTTTTTCAATTACAATTGGGATTAGGGTTTACAAATTGATTCCATGAGCTGCAAAAAGATATGGATAGAGAAGCTACTCACGAACGAAATACAAGAGAGATCTAAATAGGATCGTTAGGGATCAGTGAGGAAAATACAAGGAAGATGAACAATATTCGAGTGCTTGGTTGCAGAGAAATACCAAGAAAATAAGAGAAAAAATCATTTGAGAAAAGCGAGATAGCCACCGAGTCACAGGGATCTGTTGCTGTGTAGTAGACAGTTATTCAAAGAGAGAGAGAGAAAGGAAAAATAAGAAAGATCTATACAGGGAGGTTGGGAAGAAGAGGAAATATGAGCTGAGAAAGTGCGTAGAATTATTTGAAAGGATAATGGTTATAAAATTCCAAAGAAATAATGGTACATTTATCATATCCCATCTTATCATTCCTTTATGGACCTAATCAACGGCGTTTATAAACAACCGACTTTATCCATCCGCCAGAAAATACCGAATTTCTGGTAGTGAACTGTGACAAACTGTCACATTTTGGTAATCATATTATAATCAAATAATATGATCACTAAATAATATGATCACCGAAAAAAAAAATCAATGTAATATCAGAATATGTTGATTAATTACCCAAAAAATAAATAGAATCAAATAATAAAAATAGTGATATTTCACAAATAGTTATGTTATGGATTTGATAAAAGCCCATATTTTAGAAAGTCCAAATAGAGCTAACAGCTAAGAGAGAATTAAGGAAATATTTCTTAATTCTACTAATCCTACTACGACAGCAATGGATCAACAATTAGACCTTCAATACTCGTAAAATACCCAGAAGTCCATTCATGTAAGGTAACTCATCTATAAATAAGAGGTTAAGTCAATAAGGTACACATACTATAAACTCTCTCTATTAGCTTGTCACTTGTCACTGTGCACACACCTCACACCTTGATTATGTCATTTATATTATTGTGCACAGTGATCCGCTGATCTCTAGGATATCTCCCTCGTAGGTACATGAAAGAGGACAAACAGATTCTATATTAACATATCAATCTCTTATTGGACATCTTGTCTATCATATCATTACAAGTTATTTCATTCAAATAATTATATATAGTTTATGCAAGGTATATCACTCAATGAACTTAAATTATTATTAATAATAAATTTAACGTCTATAAATTTGGAGAGATCAAAAGATATATCAACTAAAGGAAAATTATTTACGGTTAGTTGAAAAGATTCCTAACAGATGTTAATCCTAGTGCGACAGTGACAAATTAGACATTGGACTCCACAATTCACTAAAGATCCAAAATTTCACTACTCACAAGTAAATTATATAAATAAGAGATAAAATCTACTATACCCACACTGAACTCTATATTCTCTTAGTTGTCATCGAGCACACACCACATGTGACATGCCTTGGGCTATACACAATATTATTGTACATACTGATCTGCTATCTTTTGCCAGCGTTCTTCCATAGAGTCCTGTAAGAGTACAAATCCAAGATATAATTATCAATCACCAGTTGGACATCACGATCTTCTAAGGATCGAACGTGTTTTTTTTTTTTTACATAAGTAGATGGGGCCTGGGCCCTGCTGATTTTTTTAAAAAAATTATTATTATATATAATTTTATAAGTAATTATTATTTGGCCCCTTCTAAAGTTAAAATTTGGCCCCATCTATGCTCTCTTTCTCAGCTGATAGCCTAATACATTCTGAGTGGAGTTGGAAACTACAACAGTGACTTCGTATTTGCTTGCTATTCTCTCAAAGTTAGACCCTAATGGTATTTGCTCTTAAATTGGTGCTTTTTCATTCTGAAATTTTTCTAGTTTTCCCCGTGATTGATTTTATTTTGTGAAGATATGCTTGTTAGAGTGGAGTGTCTTTGAGTGTTTTGGTCTTTCATGTTTCCTTAAATATTTGATTCGGCTTTATGACTTTATACACTCTCTCTTGATAAATTATGAAATTATGCAGCATCTCGATGGCTTTTTAGATAAGTATGCTAGAATTTATGGTAAATTTTTTTCCTAATAGATTTGTGTAATTACGATAAATGTTTTAATAATTTGATGTGTCAAATTTTTTGGCCCCGACAAAAATAAAATCTTGGCTCCGCCACTGGATAATTCTAAGATCGAACGTTAAGTTGCACATCCTGATCCTCTCAGATCGAACAATTATTATTTAATTTAATAAATTTATTATTATATATAATAATAATTATATTATTTAATATTTTCATTATTAAATAGTAAATATTATTTATGATATTACTTAACATTTACATTAGGTAAGAAAATAAAAATAAAAAAAGTTGTAAAATTTGGAAAGATGATTATAAAACTACTACCTGGTAGACAAGGGAAACACAGTGGATATGTATACTAGAGGCTGCCACGCGGTAACGTAATGTTTTTAGTACTTCGGTTGTACCGAGCACTTATTATATTATTTATTAAAGCCTTTATTAATCTTATGCAATAAGAGAGAATTCTCTCGTGCAATAGAAATAATCATGTGTGGGATCCACCCACTATAGAAAAAGAATAAAAAAAATAACACGAAAATCGATGTATGTGTAGAAGAAAAAAAATTTCTCCTACAATATAAGAGTATATTTTCCCATTTATTAAATATGATAAAAAATAATATTTACACATTTAATATTTTTTTTCTTTTTAGCAAATAAGTACAAACTCTTCATAGGTACGATCTTTTCGGTTTACATGACATGAAAAGGGACTAGCAGAAGAAGAATTGCGTATAGTAAATAGGATGCCACCTATAATTGTATATGAAATACAATAAGATGTTAATCAAAACAGAGGTAGAACATGACATCGTTAGTTGAGGAAGATGTTACCAAAAGATAAGGAGGAAACTCCTGAAAGTTCGGGTGCTAATTTTCATTTGGAGAAGGCTGATCACAAGATGAAAACACAAAACCTGTTGATTTGTCCAATGAAAAAGAGCAGCCTCTAAATTGGTAGAGTTAGTGTAGAGACAGAGTTCGAGAGAGTTAAACTCACATAGTTACAATTTCATCACAATATGCCATTTTAATACTGATTAAACCTATATGTGTGCGTGAGAGAGATAGGTATCATATGAGCATAACATGAAAAAGAACAACAAAATCGGGCAGGAAAAAAATTTGATTCATCCATAAATTTGGAAATACAGTATGTATGTATCAGAGTATGGAAAAGACTGAAAAACAATGACAATAAGATCGTATCAGTAAGCATTCCCTTTTTGGGAACGGTTCTTCCAGGTCCATCTGCTAAGGATGGTTGTAGTTCTTGTGGTACATTTCCTATTTTTATGCATGTCAAATTAATTTTTTTCTTTTATTTTTTTGTTTAATTTTTAAAGGGATATTTGCTTTTAGCTCGCTGAATTATAGTCTTAAACAGTTTTAAGTCATTTGATCTTCAAACAAGGAACTCAAGTTTGAATCCCCTTACTTGTAAAATATATATATATATATATTTTATACAATTTAACATAAAATCGGTTGGATCAAATTTTGGTTTAGTTCGAGATTTGATGTCCAACTCGAACCGCTGAGGGCACCGGATTACCAAAACCTGAGTCAACTCAGCTGGTCCAAGTCATGTTTTAAAACACTAGACTTAAAGATTTTGGTAAAAAAATCGTTAAACTAATTTCAATTAGCTTTTGCTAAGTTAGTTCGAAATCTAAATCAAACTAATTGGTGAAGTTTTTATTTCCAAACCAATCCATTCCAACCCTCATAAGACACTTAATCGTACCTTAATACATAATGTACAATGTATCATAGTACGTTTTGCTCATTTTCTGTTGTATGCATCATTATTATTGAGATTCTAGATAATTCACTCAAAATATATAACATGTAGAGAACAAATTATTTTAGAAAGAATTTGTCTATGAACTGAGTACGTAAAAATGTATCTATCATTGAATTTTAGTGAGTTAAAATTAAGATACATTTTAAATTAAATTAATAATAAATACATCTTTACTTCCTAATTTAGAGAAACATCATCCAACACGTATATCCTTTTTTAAGAAAGACTTGAATTTATAGTTTTCATAAATTATTTAAATTTGTTGTTTTCTAACTACCATCCTTAGTCTAAAATTGTGAGTAATTAATTATACAAAAATTATTGTTGTTAGTCCACTTTTATTAACTTATATAGCATTTCAATGAAGACAACATAAGTGAAATTAAAAGAGAGAGAGAGAGAGAGAGAGAGAGAGAGAGAGAGAGAGAGAGAGAGAGAAGTTCCCAAGAAAATTCACAATAATATATTTAAAAAATTATTTTTGAAACTAAATATTGTAAAAACAAATACCTTAATTAATCTCCGCCCACAATCACCACACGGCAGGTGCGTCCATGAAATGAAGTTCCACTTAAGAGGCCCATCCATGTGCATTTTTTTTTTCTTTTCTTCCTCCCACGTATTTTGCTCTAAGTTGAATCCCATCGCTATTCCCCAAACTGGTGGAAGGGATTTGTAACTTTCGAGTATTCTGTCGGGGCACCTTTTCTTTTTCGAATATTCTACAGTCAATCTTCACCTAGTTGGTGATTGAAAAAAATATTTATCTTGGTCAAAAAATGAATTAAAAGTATATAAAGTGTCCCTGTATAAATCAACCACTGTGGTTATATCTTCCACTTTTTCGCTTTTCTGATTGCGGATAGAAACATTCAAACATATATTAAGTGGCTTTTTGTGCCCCTCCCCTCCTTTTCTAAACATCATTAAGGGAAGAAAAAAATTGAGTGAGTGATAATAATGAAAAAGAGAAATAAATTTATAGAGTATGATTTTTTTTTTATTTGAATAATATATAATATAGAGAAATTAGATGAAATTGAAAACATGTATCTTTAATTGATTGAAAACTAAGGATTAACAATATAAAAAAGGAAACATGAATAAAGTAATTTTTTGTTCCGATTTTCACATTAGAAACAATTTTGTGCTATGAAATTCTTAATTTTTCCTTTTCTAATTATTAATGTTATTTTAGTTCTAAATTATTAAAATTTGTATTCAAAATTAATTCTTATCTTCTACGAAAAAAAAAAACAATTTTTGCCCCAAGATCCATTTGTCCACTATTAATATAAAGAATTATTAAAGAACTTTACTATAATAGCAAATGATATACTGAGAAGGATCTTCTAACCTTTTCATAATATTCATAATTTTAATACAACTCCGCTTGTTTAATATTTATAAAAAGGAATAAACACAAATTTTAACGCGGGAAAATCTATTGGGTTCTACTCAGGTGGTAGTTGTACCTTCTTTTCACCAATTAGTTACGGTTATTTCGGTCGTTGAACTTTTTTGATTCCTGCAATATGCACATGCTATCCTAGCTTGATTGGTGGGATAAGAATATTATCTTTTGTTCTCGATTGGATTTTCAATTTATTACTTTCACTTTTTTCCCGGTCTTAGTCAACTCGTGCATTTGTGTGTCTGCGCATGTGTCGGTAACAGAGAGAGAGAGAGAGAGAGAGAGAGAGAGAGAGAGAGTTCAACGTAGAAACATGTAATTATGTATTTATATATCATATCAACTCTTCTGCACTTGTTCTCTTATACCATATTCTCAGATTTGGTACTAAGAGGTTAACAGGCGGAGGTTGTAATCAAGGAAAAAGTAGAGGAAATCAGAAAACCAAAAGAAAGAAAAAAAAAAAGGGGGGACAAATAGCAAGAAACAATGTTAAAAAAGAAAAGAAAAGAAAATAATGGAGGAAGGAAATTTCTCATAGGAAAAGTACATCCTAGCTAAAGAAAGGACCATAGTATATAGGGCTATTCATTTTCCCACTTCCTCCCCTTTTGTTTTCTTATATATTTTTGGAATTAATGGACCGGCCTGCAGAGACAGTTGCTCGAGGGGTCTTAATCAGCAACGAGAACCCTTCCTACAATTGAGTGAACCAGCACCAGTAGTTATCGAACCCACAAGTGAAGATGGCCTTGCACTTAAGCTAGAAGCTCTTGCATAGCTAGAAGAGGCCCCTGCCCCTGATGCTGTGAAAAACGCACCATTTACCAGCAAGTCTCCTTCTGACCTCCAGTTCCACCCCTTCCATTCACTCTCTGGTGCATCCTCATGCTTTGTCACCTAACCAAATTCACATAATATAATTAAATATTTCATTATAAAAATGATTTAATATATTTAATCAAAATTAATCAAAAGAAACTTTTAAAAAAGTGTTTATTTTTTATTTAATGATTACCTCCTTGCTGAATCTGTTATCGGGTGCAACAAATCTGTTGCCTTGGCTATTGATGGTTGGGTTAGCACTTCCCCCAATGGCATACATTTCCCAGTGAGTATAGTCATTGTTCACCACATGAAAATATCCATGCCTACACCTGCAAACATCACAAATGTTTTTTCAAATTTCAGCACATGTGGCCCCACATTGTAAAAGCTAATTAGGAGTATTGACAAAGTAACTCATGAGTCACTCCCATACACATTGATTTCTATGCTTTTTTTTTCCCCTTACTTTTGTTATCACTTTATTGGTACTTCTTTAATTTATTTATTTTACCTTGGCATCCTTTGAACAAGCCCTTCTCCAAAGTGGTTGAAAGCTATTGTGACCTGCATGTTTTTGTCTTGAGTGTATGAGTCACTATGACCCAACAGCATAGCCTTGTCGTGGTGTGTCATGTAATTGTTGGAGATAGTAATTGCTGTGGACCCTTCAATGGCATCGATCAAACCATCAGCGCAGTTAGACAAGGAGCAATGGTCCACCCATACGTGACTTCCTCCGAAGATGGAGACACCATCACCATCCGATATGGTTCTCCACCCGTAGTGCCGTGGGGAGCTCCGCACCATAGCATTCCCACCTTGCTTACAATCATGTATATGTATCCCATGTATTATAACATTGGTAACATACTGAATAGTAATGCATGGACCACCAGCAATATGCACACTCGCGCCTCTTCCATCAATGGTCTTGAATGAGTTCATGATGAGTTCTTCCTTCAATTGAATCACCATGTCTCTTGCAAATATGATCCACAATGGCTCGTCTTGAATCACCGCATACCGGAGGGTCCCCGGTTTGGGGGTCACCGGATCATCGTCGCCGGAGTCGGTGACAACATATATCTTACCATCCCTTCCACCAATGGCGTTCTTTCCGAAACCAATTGCACAATCTGCTAGCCTTTGCCTATTATTCTCCCAATTGGAGTCACATCTCCAACAATCATCAATGGGGTTGCCACTCCCACACGAGAGGTACCCCAAATTCCTCCTAGCTACAGTGGCATTGATTTTCCTGCCCCCCAAAAAAAAATTAAAAAAATCAAACATTAATATTAGTATATGATTCGGAAGACATTTCTCTAAATGTACTTGCATTTGACATATTGTATGTATACAATTACATAATGCACATTTTATGTACGTATATAGAGAGGAGAAGCATAAAGGTTGTGACTTTAACATTTACCTGTTTACCTCTTGTGTCACAAATTCAGGGTTCTGAACAGGTGAAGAGGAAATGAGGGTTGGGGTGAGGAAAGAGAAGAGCAAGAAGATCAAAGAGAGTGAGGTGGTGGTCATGTTTGGTCTTCTTTAATTTGCTAAGTGTTGTGAGAAGGAAAGGAATGAGGTGAGAAGAATGTACGTAGGAGGAGGTGTATATAAAGGAACTAAAGCCGGGCTCAATGGCGTGATTAAACTGAACATGTGGGACCAAGGTGCTTCGTGATTTCTGGTTTTACGGGATTCCAATTGGGCAGTTTTGTCCCTTAAGCGAACCCCAAATGATGGTGGAAAGTCCAAACAGTGTAAGTAACTAATTACAATCAAATGTATGGCCTTCTTTTTTTTTTTTTGTTAAACAATGTATGGCCTTCTTTTAATACTAAGTAATGTTGGTTTTAGCTTTTAACCGATGAAAGTTTTATATTATTTGAATAATATCTTATAATATTAAGATTGTATTTTAATATAATTTAGACTATATTAGAGCCCCTATTTATAAACATAGAAATTAGTGTTTTATCTTTGGTAATTATCTCAATAATCACTTCATAATATATTGATATCCAATATTATTTACTCTTCTCTTTTTTTCTTCGTCTATACCCAAATCTTTATAATTTCAAAGAAAGGATTCTAGGATCCCACTTTATTAAAATGTCTATGAAGTGAGATAGATATAAAATTTTCATATAACAAAGGCATTACCTTATTAAAATGTCTACCAAGAGAGATGGATTCAAATTTTTTCTTATGTAAAATTTCATTACTTGAGAGCATCCGTATATAGTGTCACATGCAAAATTCTACAATTACTACGTAGTTAGTTGGTTCATTGAGATCAAAATTATATATATACATTATATGCGACAGGCTTATTTTATACGTGTATATATAAAAGTAAAAGTCTTATATACTTAATATGAGTCATTGATCTAACTTTTAAAGCTTCAATTTATTAAAGAAAACAAAAATAAAAAATCTGGAACGAGAAAGAAACAATCATGTGATCACAATTAGTTAATAAATTACAGCAGTTAGACTTAACTAGATCAATGCCTCATATGAGAATAGTCAAGCATCACGTAATGAAGTTCTGGGAACTTCAGTTAACTAAATTAGTTTATATTGGCTGTGAAAATAAATTCTTTCTCATCCTGTGTGATATATGTTCTTGGCAGCAAATTCTTTATACTTTGACTTTGTTTTATCCAAACGGTCGAGTTAGATCGTGAAAAATTAAAGCGTTACCTAGTGGAAGAGATTGACTTGTTTGCTATGATGGGTCCATCTATTCCTTTAAGTCAGGAGGCATCTTGGAAAATCTTGAGCTTGATATCCATATTCTGCATTCTGAATTCCCATTGGGACATTGGAGAAACTCATTCATAAACAACACAACGTAGGGCTTTAAGAAAAGGTGAACCACGCCAGCCCAGCTGGTGAAAAATTAATAATTAAATAGTTACGTTGTTAATTTGTATCATAAAGGAGTTTTTAATTTATCACAATTTTAAAGGGATAGGATCATTTAATACGGTTGATTTCTACTAATTTGGTTGTTGTAATTTATTAGGTTAGACCCATTAAATAATTATTAATTTTTAATAAATTATAATTTCAAATTAACAAAAAATCAACGGTTCAAATGATGTGTCAAAATTTTAATTTGATGCCATTGTCAAAAGATATCTCTCTCTCTATATATATTATATATTTACTAATCATATTTAATATAAATAATTTTAATTTAATAGTATATCAAATAATTATTGCAAGTTTTTGTGGTGATTTTTGAAAATCAATATTTTCCTTAAATGGTTTTTTCCAAATACTAATATATTATATAATTTCATCTTAATATACATGCAATAACATGATGGGATTAGTACACACTTGAAGAGGAAATGTACGCAGGTATAATGATACGATGAAAACATACACCGACACCAAGATAGGTCTAATCAAGGTGCGGGTAACACCCTACAACTTTTTGTTTGTTATTGAAATATTGAATATTTCATCTAATCATCTCTCACACACATATATGCTTGCTGTTAAGCATTTAGCTGTATAGGTAGATAGAGAGATTCCCATATAAAGAAAAACATTACTATCTTAATCCGAGGTGCTTTCCACTTCAGTAATTGTAGGAGTCCATATTCATAATAATAAGATTGGGACACCTAAAAGGAAATTAATAGAAATTTTTTATCTCCATGGCATATAATTGCTTGCCCATTGATATCTAGGTTTTCATGGGGTCCCCCAACTCTTGCTTTACTTGTGTGACCATGGAAAACAATTGCGTTTAAATCGTGTTCCGGAAATAAAATTAAGATTAAACTAGTTAGTTTATTAAATTACAGAGGTTTTTTTTTAAAAAAAAGGTAATTTTAACTATGAAATAAGCTTTTATTTAATAGAAAACTATTTTGCCCATGTTTAAATTAATTTGGTTTGTTAGAATTACAATCAAAATATTCTAAGGGGATATTTGTCTAAAAAAATTGAGTTTAATTTTGATGCAATATGTTGCGGTCTGTGGAGCATAAAACTTTGTTCTAACTGAGTTGGAATACTCAGTGAAAATTATTTTCGCGATGACTCTGGAAAATGATTATAATTTTTTGTTGAAATTAATTTTGAATTAATTATTTTTATGAATAAGAAGTTTGATTTTAAAAAATGTGTGATTCAATCGACAATCAAATGTGTTGTTTCATCTTTGAATGAGTTTATTTAAATCGTGACTCTCCGTTTTTTATAAATAAATAAATAATCATTAACATGAGTTTTTTCCTTATTCGTTTTTGCATATTCTTTACTGCAGTCTTCTACTTTAGTGCGATTGATCATGCATAAGTTAAATTCAGTGAACTTATTTTATGTGAAATTTCTGCCAAAAGAATAAAGATAATTCATTCAATTCTATGAAATATTGTCCATGAATGTATCAAAGCCAATGCAGAATTCAATAATAACAAGGACATAGGGTTAAAGCTTGTAATATTCAAATTTCAAAAAAACAAAATTATAAAAAAAATAAATAAATAAAATTTGAAGCTGCCAGCGTTGAGGCAGCGCTGGCTCCCAAATTTGGAGGAGTTGAGTGCTACTTGAGCGCAAATGGCTTGAACACACATATATATAATAATTGTGATATAATTATTAAATAATAAAATATAAATAAATAGTAAATATAAAAATAATATAATAATAATAAAATAATTAATTAATAATATAATAATCGATAAATAAATGAATATATGTATATATGTAGGGACAAGATATTCTTACACCAGTGTTAGAGTTACAAGTCTAACACTCAATAATCTTGACTATTGATTCACTTGTATCCAATGGCTCACATTACTAAAAAATTAGAGCCCTTGAATATAAGTGGGATCAACGGACAAGATTAAGAGTGTAACTAACACTAGTGTAAAATGATCCTGACTCATATATATATATATATATATATATATATATATATATATATATATATATATATATATATATATGAATAAACTACAGAAAACAAACAAACCTTATACATATAAAACCCATGACAGAAAACACGTGGAAGTGCCCCACCAAACGCTTACAAAAAAAGTTCTAGAAATGTTTACGTTGATGATTACGTGGTTAATTATCATCTGAAAAATAATGATTATCTAGTTAGAATTTAACTAGTTTTGTTAAAAGGTAACGAAATACGATAATTATTCGAACGTAAGCAAGTTTTTCTTTATATGTGTGTGTGTGCGTGTGTGTGTTGCTAACCATAAGAGAAGAAAAAAGAAAACAGCGAGAAGAGAAAGAGAGGAACCTGAGAAAAATAAAGAAGGAAAGTAACGAAGAAGAAAATAATATTGGGTGATGAAAAACGTTTTCTCGTCTTTTTTTATTCTTCAAAACGAAGATTAATTTACATGCCATTGTCGTTCTGCCAAACTTTTTCTTTATATATTCTTTAGTTCAAGTTTATTCCATTACAGTAGTTTGATTTTATTCAGTGATTTCATTTTTTTATAGTATATTTATTTTCTTTTAAATTTGATTTCTTTTCACAAAATGATTATCAAGTGGGATAATTAATTGGTACCAAGTATTTACGAAGAGAATATGTAAACTTAATTGATGAAGAATGCTATGAACTGAACCGTAGAGTTTGGGTTCAAACGATTATAGGATAAGGGATGCCTTATCGTGGCTTGAGCTCCTCCACAATAAATCTTTCATATGCAGAAACCCACAAAGTTGAAAAATTATTTATCTTCAGTTAAATATTACACAATGCATTATTTATTATACTATTTCAGTTTAAGAAATTATTTGAGAGAATGGTATTTTCCGTTATTACGGCTGGAACTGGTTATAGTTAGAAAACATCAATATTACTGAGATTTATCTCATTTGTATTTTTATTCTGTGCTAACCTTTCCAGAGTGTAGATACAATGTATGTTTTGAAGATAACAAAATGGCAACAACAAAAAGGCAAGATCATTTGATCAAGAGCAAAAAACATCAACCATATGTGGATATTGAAGATGTATGATGTAGCCACACAAGAAGAGTGATGTCATATCAAAGTGGCAAGATCATTGGATCAAGAGCAACAAAGAATAATTAGGAGAGCAATAACAAGATCAAAGACAACTAACCATGGATAACATCTAAGAGAAGCTCAATATTATAACCATGGTGAAAAATTATCAAAACCAGCAAAGTGTCAAGCATTGTCATATTCAACAAGTCAAAGCATCAAGTTCAAGAAAAGATCCAAGACACAAGACATGAAGCTAAGTCTAAAATCATATTTAGAATATATCCTTAGGACTTAGAATATATGTGAGGGTATATGATAGATTGCATTGCATGAGCTCAAAGTTTTTCTCAAAGTAAATGTGTTTTTCAAATTGCATAATCATAACCTTTATATAGTTGAAATAAAGTTGAAAAATTCATGGAAAATATCCTTGACATATTTTATAACTTCAAAACATATTTATCAAGTCAAGATCTTTCATAAAAAGTAGTTGGAAGCAAGCTAGAACACATTTGAACTTAAAACTTGTTGTTTAA